GTCTGGAAACCAATCATGGATATCCTAGCCAAGGATCCATCCCAACTTCCTCACTATCGATTGTCTGATGGCTTACTCTTCTTGTTGGACCAGAGTGAACAGAGACTGTGCATTCCTCACAAGGAAGAACTTAAAAGTCTATTGATTGGGGAATGTTATGATACAGAGGGACACTTTGGGTTCAAGAAGACGTATGCTGAGGTGCGTGAGCACTATGAATGGAAGGGTTTGAAAGAGGATGTGCTAACATATGTTCGTACATGCCAAGTATGTCAGAGAAACAAACCGTCTCATGAGAAACCTTTGGGTTTACTCTGACCACTACCTATTCCGAGTGAGCCAGGTGAGTCCGTGTCCATTGACTTCATGAAACTCACCAAGTCCCGAAATGGCAATAGTCAAGTGATGGTTGTGGTTGACCGTTTCTCCAAATATGCTATGTTCATACCCTTGCCTGCAGAAGCCAAGATTGAGCTTGTGATTGCTAAATTTCATATGCGATGGGTAACTGAGTATGGGTTTCCTATGTCTATCGTATCTGACCGTGATGTCAGGTTCACAAGCATACCTTGGCAGAAGTTGATGGAGGCATACGGTACACGGCTCACCATGTCGTCAGGTAGACACCCTGAAACGAATGGACAGTCTGAGCAAATGAACCGTATGGTCCAACAACTTTTGAGAATGTATGTCCGTCCTGACCAAGTGGACTGGGACGAGAACTTACCCTAGATTGTCGGTGCATATAACAATAGTGTGCATACCGCAACGGGACGCACACCTAACGCACTGCACAAGGGCTGGAAACCGAAGCGTCCCATTGATGTCCTAACTAGGGACCAGTTCCTTAGACTTCCACCTGGGACAAAGGAGTATGGCATTCTGTTTCAAGAAGACATCAAAAAGGTGAAGGAAAACTTGAGAAAAACCCAAGAGCGTATGATTGAACAAGCTAACAAACACCGACATCCGTCTACATTTCAAGTTGGTGACTTGGTCTGGGTTAAGTCCAAAGAATTCACTTTAGAAGAAGATGTTTCTCAGAAACTGATGCCTGTTTACCTGGGACCCTGGGAAGTGCTCAAGGTGATAGGGGATGTAGATGGACCCTCCTACCGGATTGACATTTCGCCTCATCTTCGGACATACCCCGTCTTCCACGCGTCTAAACTACTTCCATATGTAGAAGGAACAGAGTTCCCTCACCGACCATCTGCAATTCCTCCGTCTATGAATGGCAGCTATGTGGTTGAGAAAATTACTGAACATGGATTCTTTTCTACTGGTGGGAGAGGCAGACCTCAGAAGCTGTATAAGGTGAGATTCCAGTTCCAATCTGAATTTGAAGACCGTTGGTTTAGCAGGCGGGAACTGTTGGATACTGCTCCTGATATTGTTGCTAGCTATGAACGCGGACTGAAGTCTTAAGTATTTCTGCGGTGGAACTCGAATTCGGGCCGGCAGGAATGCAGTAAACCGCGTTCATCAGCGGCCTGGGCGCTGTAACCAAGGCCCAGGCCCACCGAGCAGTGCGACTACGCACTGCTCAGCCTCAGGCCGCTGCAGATGTTGTGTGACCAGGCACAGCAGGAAATTCAAAGGTCAAAGCCAACTGTCGGTCCAGGTACCTCACCCAGGCCTTTGGTCGTGTGCATTGACTTGTATGTGTGCAGGTACCCAGTCAAACTGGTGGACCAAGGAGGATACAGTTTCAACTCAATCCAGGC